TGGGAGAGTCAATTTATTTGGCAAAAATTATGTACAAAGATTACGTGATCTTTGAGTGTTATGAAGTTCTATCTTTGCGTTATAATTTCGACAATATTTTTTTCAAACTTTACTCTGTATTCATCACAAACTATAATTTGTTGCTTTCGTAATGAAAATATTCGATTAACTTTAAAAGTCGGATGTGCCCCAAGGTCTTTACAATTTCGAAGGTTTCAATTATGACAAAATAACTTATAATTTCGATAATTTTGTTTTGGTTGCAAATACGACGAGTGGAATGTTTATGATCAGAAGAGAACAAAAATTTAAATAAAAGCAAAAAAAATATTAAGTAAGAGAAGGAAGTAAGTCTTAAAAATATGGTTATACATATTCGTAAAATATTTCCAATGCAAAAATTGAAAATCATTAATAAAATAATATATATTTATATATATATATATATATATATATATAAATTACAAATATTAATAAAAAAAATATAACAACTCCATAACATAAGTGAAAATATTTTTGTTACTAAGCGGAGATACTTTCCTCTGGATATACCCCTTAACATATATAGTAATGCTACAGATCATAGATTAGATAAGCTTACAAAATTTCAATTATTATTTATATCACTAGCAACGTATAGTTTACTATTTTCATGTAAAGAAATAAATACACAAGACAACATCGTTGTTGTTGCAATTTCTCAGCAGCAATAAAAATTGAAATGACAAATTTTTTTACAATTTTGTGTTAATAATATTAATCATAATAAATAAATAAAAAATATTTTATAATTAACATATAATTAATATAATTTTGTGTTAATATAAATTATTAATATAATTATATTTGTATTATAAAAATAAATAAGGGTCAGCGAAAAATTCGATAAATTAAAATAGTACAAAAATGGATTTCTGTTGCTGAAGTTCACTACTTTTTGAATAAACCTATTTATAAATAAATAATAAAAAATATTTTGTATAATAAATAATAAAAAAATATTTTTTTATAAAATATAATAAAAAATATTTTTTATAATAAATAATAAAAAATAGTTTTTATAATAAATAATAAAAAATATTTTTTATAATAAATAATAAAAAATATTTTTTATATTAAATAATAAAAAATATTTTTTATAATAAATAATAAAAAATATTTTTTATAATAAGTAATAAAAAATATTTTTTATAAATAATAAAAAAAGGACCTTAAAAAATCTTTAGAAAAAATAAGTTTTATAAACATCTTGGCGAATTACATTATAACATAGTTGAAACACAAACAAGTATGTATAAATTTATAATATATATTATATGTATATAATATGTCTTATAATTACAATGTTAACTAATATGAACGAATATGAATAATATAATTCTATAATATCAACCACACTTTATTGGTAAACAAATTTCTAGATCTATGCATATGGATTTATGTGAATCTAGACAGATAAACAAGAATATTGCTAAATAGAT